TGGTGATGGGATCACTGGGGAGAGGGTGCTGGGTGGAGGTGTTAGGGACACAGGAAGAGGTGCTAGTGGTGATGGGGATGTTAGAGAGAGGGGGCCCCAGAAGGTGCTGGAGGTGGTGGGGCCACAGGAAGGGGTAGTGGATGTGGAGGGGACATTAGGGACATGGTGCCTGAGGAGGCCCTGGAGGTAGTGGGGGCACTGGGTAGAGGGTACCTGAAAGGACAGTTTTGTTGAGGGCTTCTAGAGAGCGTTTATGGATCCGGGGGAGCTCTTGGGCATTACCAATGTGGAAGGGATGTGTGGGGTGCAGGTAGGACGCTGCTGGATCAGGAAGGTTGTCACGGCATTGGGTTAGGACAGAGGCATTGCTGGGGATGGGGACAGTGATGCTGCTGCAGGCAGGGATACATGTTAGAGCAGGCCTGGGATTTGGAGGAGTGGGAAGGACACTGGGATTTCAAGGGAGAGGGAGGGCTGAGTCTTTGAATTGCCCATCATCTGTGGGGTTTGCAGAGGGGGGACAATGTTTGTAGCATTTCAAGGAAGGGAACTTTGGTTTTGGGGGAAGACAGGTCCCCTAGAGAGGAGGCCAAGGGCCTCCGCACAGGAGTGGAGGTTTGGGCAGACCAGTGATATTTTTACTCCTCCTGCAACTCACTTGTGGCTCCTATGTGGGTGACTAGACCACTTCCATGTGTTTAGTCAGACAGAACTATCCTGTATTTATAGGATTCTCAAATGCTTTTGGATGCTTAGCTGCATTGAAGTCATCAGTAAGTTTCTCTGTCTTCCAGTCTAGCACATGTGAAAAATGTGTTTGAACCTCTTTTAAAATATGTTTGAGATATATTTGACAAAAATAGGACTTGAACAATAGAAAGTGGATCAAATATGGAAATAGCATTGTTACATAATTTTGATTTATAGCTTAATTGTTTGTCACAGACCTGTGAATAGCATTCATTGAGGGAGGTGTATTGCTGCTTGTGTGCTGGATCTTTGTTTCCCTTGGAAGAGGTAACTGTCCGAAGAAGCAGGCACACTGCAGGAAGCCAGGCCTGCCAGAGGAAACTGCTCAGTTTAATATGGTGCATGGTGAAGTAGATCTCTATCTTAGCCATGAGTTCTAATTTGGATTTATGTACAGGACCTGCTCCATTTTTTATTTAATCAACCCTACTGAAGACAGTTTGTTGATTTGGGTGGAAAAATAAGTATTTTAAAACTCTGTGTGTTCAGGAGTGCAGTGTAATGGGAAATAAAGCTGCAAAGTTGCATGTTCTTTGACAGTGCATTGCATCTAAAATAAGTTTGCTGGTTAATAATGAATAGATTGAGGAATGGTTTTTCTGTTTGGCATTCTGTTATTAATATGTATAGGTCTACCTATATCCATCTTGCTGCCAAAATAACATTTTATTTCTCTTTCAGACAGTTTTTAGGCCATATTCTTGTAATCCCATTTTTACAGATGGACCTTGGCATGACATCCTAATAAAGTGAACAGATGCTCAGTGCTGTGTGCTTCCGCCTGTTTAACATGAAGATAAATTCTAAGGCTTATGCTTATGCACATTCCTTTTTGTGCTCAGCTGAGTAGTTGCACTACAGTAAGTCAGGCATGGCACGACAGATATCTGTCAGGATTGCTTGCCCTGAGGAAGATGGGATAGACTGAATGATCTTTCATCTTCTCCTCCCTTCTCCCCATTATTGTGTGCTAAATTGCCTGAATTTGTGGGCATTAGACTGTAAAGATTTCAAGTTAGTGAGTGTTCTGTCTCCCAAAAAAGACTATATTAGAGCACGATTGTTCCTAGTATGGTAAAAAGTTTAATTACTAAAAGGAGGAATAAACAAATCCTGCTTTGCCCTGGTGTGCATCACTCTTGCCCATCATCCACTTTTATCAAGTGTAACAATGCCTTGTACTAAAGATAATCTTAGTTTTCTTTGTATGGAAAAAATAACTAAATGAGTACAGTTGTTCAGCTATTCATGACTCTTCTGCAGATCTTGCAGTGGACAGACCAGACAGAAAGAATGATAATGTTATCCCTAAGATAGGGGTCTTAGGCACACAGATGATAGCATGCATATTTTCTGAGGTTTCTTAGACAATAATTATTAGGATTTGCATTTTGGTTTTGTGTCTATATGTGTCCCTCTCTTTTATACTAATTAAATCTCTTTGTCTTCAGGTTTTCTTTCTTTTTTTTTTTTTAAAAAAACCCTGAAACTAAAACTACGAATTCATTTTAAAAGATGTTCTCTACTGTTCTAATGATAAGCAAGCAAAATAAATTGCAGTAATTTCTATAAAGTTTTTGCCTCCAATAGATTTGATTTTTCCTCACATTTATGTGAGATTTGCTAATAAGAACAAGCAGAGAAAAAACAATGCATGTAAATTATAGTTGTGAAACTTAATAAATTCTAAGGAAGAGACAGGTATATGAACTCAATGGAAAGCCAGTAAATTTAAAGCTGACAGTCTTATCCGCTTATTTCAGCAGAATAAAATAATTTAGTGTTGAGTGTAAAATAAATAAAAATCCAGGAGTCTGGATTTCTTTATGGATAAGAGCATATTTCCCTAAAAACCCTGGCTTTCACTCTCAAGACATTGATAACTGCCTTTTATAGCTTAGCTTTGAATTTTGGGAGGGAGAAATTTGTTCTAATATTCAACATCAGTCAGTATAGCTTTACACGATATAAACTGTGTATGAAAATGGCTTGCATTTGAGCAGATACTATTTATAATTGTAAGTGTAGAGGCCAGAGCTTGACTCGTAGGAATTTTTCAGGAAGATTCAGCAGACGGAGATGGATTGATGCATCCCACATTTCTAGGAGGCTGCTAGGTATTGATGTGAATCATGCTTTCAGAACAGTTTGATGATTGAACTCTGGCAAAACTTTGGAAGTTGTTGCCCGATTGTTGCCGCAGCCTTGGTTTGCAGTGCTGTGAATGTCCAGCTATCTTAAAACAAACACAGCGCTCTGCAATCCCATTCTTACTGCTCCAACATAACTAACTGTGTTCACACAGTTAATACTTCTTTTTTCTTTGACTTTATTAAAATGTCATTTATGCATGTCAGCTGCTGGATCTTTTTTCCATCGATTGTTCCTCTTCCGTTTGTATATTCTATGTATACATAATTATTTCTGTATTCTAAGGTCAAGATAGGTTATGAGGAGGAGTATATGCTGAAATACATAATACTTGTATAAATGTGATTCTTTCTCATATATAAGATAATGATTGTACTCGTTGGAAATGGAACTTGTTCAAGTGTAATCAAGCACACAACCGAGGAGAACTTGCATTTTTGTTTACTTGTAATGGTCATGTGTTTTGTGGTAACTATATTTGTGTGTGGAATGAGAGACTAAAACCACCTGATTTTTGGCATACATTGTAGTGATGTAGAAAAGGGGCTTTATAGACTGACAGTGCCCCTCATGTCAAAAGTCAAAAGAGGAGGCCTAAAGGAGAATACATGCATATGCACTTGTGTTCATATTTGAACTAATATGCAGAATTTTCAGGGCAATTGTTTAATTACTGCTGTGTCTCTACCCTGCTGTTGACTAGTTTTCCATTATGGGCATACTTACACTCCCTCGAAAAATAAGTATTAAATAGATATCTGTCTTTTGAATATATACATTATCTTACTCTGAAGTCTTTTAAAACCTTCTGACAATTTCACATCTTTAATGTACAAGGCTGATAGATTAGTTACGTATTTCCATTAATAATATCTTGATGTGCTCACAGAAGAGTAAAGATGAACTGTAGTTCACAGACTCACAGAATGCTTATGGTTGGAAGGGACCTCTAGGATCATCTGGTCCAACCCCCCTGCATACGCAGGGACACCTAGAGCATGTGGCACAGGACTGCATCCAGGTGGATTTGGAAGATCTCCAGAGAAGGAGACTCCACAACGTCTCTGGGCAGCCTGTGCCAGGGCTCTGTCACCCTCACAGCAAAGAAGTTCTTCCTCATATGGAGATTAAACTTTCTATGTTTCAACTTGCACCCGTGGCAAGTTGATAGATTTGGCATCCTTGGTAGAGCAAGTAAAATACTGGAGCCAAATACAGGACTAGGGTAGTTCAGGGAACATCATAAAAACACTTGTAACTCATTTGGAAACTCTTCAGAAACAAAGCTGGTAAAGGGAATGCTACTCATTCATTTCAAGTAGTGCACTAGTCTGTTGCTATAGGAATAAAAAAAAAAAAAGTCACTGAAATACCTTGCTCTCTCAAATTAAAAATAATACTGCAAAAGGATAGATCAAAGCCACAAAAAGGGGGGAGGTTACCTTATAGACCCACTAAAGCATCTAAAGTTAACACTCCCTGAAAGGATGGAATGATAAATATTAAAAGCTAGCTCATTTTTAAAACTACAGCTAAAAGGTAAGAACAGGCCAGTTAGTTTGTTCATTACAGCCTTTACAGACATCTTGCATCTCAGTCTCATAGAAAACTGAAAGGTTGCTAGCTGGCTGTGCTCATAACTAGTGCTCCATTTAGCTTTTTGTGCACAGGATTCTTTTTCTCTTGGAGGTTGCTTGGTAGGAGTTGGGTTTCTGTTGAAATAGAGCAATGCACTCAGCTGCAGCTGTACTCAGCAAACGTGGTACCACTGAGCAAACCGAATCAGATACAAAGGCATCACACCTGTCTCTCTAGTTCAGATAATTACAGTTAATAAGGTATTAATTTGCTCTGTAACCAATTCCTTATTTGCTGGAAGATAGCTAATGTATGATGAAATAACAGTCATATGCTACAATCTGCTGTATTGATAAATATATATATATATATATTTAATTTTTATTTAGCC